CAGTAGTCAAGTGTTAAAACAATGTTTATGCAACTTCTATAATACATGACACTTCCAAATGGCTAGTAGCCAGCAAAACCATAATAAAAGATGAAAAACACATAAATTAATCCATGTACAACCATGCAACATTTTTGAAATGTTTTCCACATAATTCTAAGCGTCTAGAAGCACAATTATCTGGAACATTTTCCTGGAACAACTTAACAAGATCTTGTTCCATACTTCAGACATCAAGTTTCATATGCTCGGTCAACTAGCTCAAACTTCAATATATTAAGGCATGATTCTGAGTATCTCTTTTCATTTAAAAGTATAATGAGGACAACTTCTCAGAATTTGTAAACTGTTGCCTTATCAAATAACCACAATTAGCTCGAGTTAATCATCCTCAATTACATCATGTATACGGGCGCGTTTTTGCCCTGTTTTAATGAAATTTATTACTTTATCAAAAGAAAATGTCATCCTCAATTTCTTTTCTAATCTAATGTTTTGCCACAATGAGGGCCATTAGTTTCATCATTTAAATCTGTTACATGAAGCTACTCGTTACTTGGTGTCAAGGAGATGCTAAGGCAATACTGTGCTGCCCTGTTATCCAACTAAAATGTTAGTCCAGTGATTTCATCTTCTAAAGCAGCTAAAACATTCTGCTTGACAAGAGAGAGCTTTAAACTTGTTTAACATCACAATATGTCAGAATTTGTCATTCCCGGGAAAAAGGAGAACAGAACATAATATCCTGCAGTTGACAACATATGTGTTCCTCCTAAAGGAAAGACATGCCCTGCAAAACTTGGATCACATTCCTTTTCAGTCATATCGAAACAAGACACTCTAAACAAGATAAAGAAGTGCTCACAAAAGCAGGGAAATTTCCAACACAACATAACAATCTACATGCAGTCTTTCCCAGAGTCTATAGATTTGTCATTCAAAAACCAGTTTAGCATTTTATCTGTTTCTGCTTTCAAAATGCCATTAAGTAGCAAATTTTTAATGTATTCTTTGCTTATTACAATTGATAACGATGTATTATTGCTTGAAATAACGCAAAGAGTCAATTCACATTTACAGGATTCGCGGTATGACACTGTCCACACTTGGGAGGAATTTTAAAAAAACAAATTTTTTTTTTTTGAAACTGGTAACTTGAATTTAAAATTTTGACAAGATGAAGAAAAAAGTGTTCATACCACAGAAATTTTAGTGGCATCATACAGGAATTCCTCAAGGGATTTTTTATTTAGGAAAACTTTACAGATTCACAATTACCTATAGAAAAGGTCTAAGTACAGTATCGCCAATCTATAAGTTCAAAAGTAATGTGAAATACGGCATGTCATACAGTAAACTTGACAATGCAACAGCAGCAAAAAAGAAAAAAACAGAAGTGACAACAGAAGGTTTATCCAGGGAGAAAACCCTGTCGAAAAATTTGATTATCTGGGTAATAAGAAGAGTTTCAATGTTACAAAATATAGCAATACATTATCAACCAATACTTGTCATGGACACTACAAGGTAACGATGTAGTATGTACAACTAAAAAGATCAAAATTTGCTAAACTTTAATGTTGTCTCCGAAAATGTACAATGCTTGGTTAATAGCTTGTCCAAAGAGTTCTTATTGCAAATGATGTGACCAAATTATCCACCGCTTAATCTGCCCTACCATCTGTCAATCTTGTGGAAACCAGCTAACTTTTAGATCAGTTATCTGAACCATCAGTTCAGCATTCCAAGCAAAATGCCATTTTAACTCCACGTTAAAAAGCTGGGCTCATGCTGCAATAACAGCAAAAATAAGCAGTTGAACCTGAACTACAGCCATTACCAAGCATCTGTCATCTCTCCATAAATTCAAAATAATAAATAAAACAGAAATCACCACAAAAGTTTTGGAGTTCAGATTTCAGAAGCAAAGGCAGCAAGTAGTTAATCTACTGAGAGGTATGACAAGGGATCTTCAGATTAGATTTTTCTGGCAAATGTAACAAAAACTTTCGGCAAAGATCAGTGGCATGTTGCCATTTACGCCAGGAAAAGAAATAAAACTTTATCAACTACCATAATAATACCAAAAACAAGTATAAACTAATTGTCACATTACAGTTGCTTCCATACATAAGTAAATGTCATCTCAAGTCATTTTAAAATAGACATAAGAAACAACTTGTCCTGTTGATGAAAGCAGCCAGTAAACCCAGAACATGTTCCCGCTTTACCAAACTTAGTCTTAGTTTGACTTGACACGGGTAATAAGAGTAGAGTTGAAATTAATTAATACGTTAAGAAAAAGGTGACATTAAAATAGAGTTAAAAGTTAGCCTCTTGAAGGTTATTGAGATCTTTAAAGAAGACATGTGACATTTATAGTGATATACTATAATAAAGTAACAGAAATATAAAGTGAATAGTGAGGAATAAGATTCCCAGGGAAGACTGAAGTGACAATTTTAAGACAGACAAAATGGGAAGCCGTATGATTTCTTTAAGAGAGAGGGAGCAACATGGTATTTAATGCACATTTTACGTAGGTTCTCATCTGTCAAAGCCTTGGTGGACAGAACTACCATGTACTTGTACTGATGGGAGGTAACAGGTACCTGTAAATTAATGAAGATGTGCTAGCTGACACAGACACCACGTTATCGGAAATTTGTACACTTTAGTATCACGAAATCAGAAACACAAACAAATTTCTTGTTTATTGGAAAATTGTACACTTTAGTATCACGAAATCAGAAAAACAAACAAATTTCTTGTTTATTTCCACTCCTGTAGTTTAGATCTGTCATGTATCCTTTTATCTTTACTCGAAAGGATTTTTACATTAAAATGACACTTCTTGTCTAGAAAGAAATCAAGAAAGACAGAGATAAAAGTACAGGAACCAGAGTAAGTTCGTCTAGCCCCATCACATAGAGATAAATAAGAATCCTGATGTCTTACAGACTTACACCAATGTGAAACCATCCGTCAAAACATACACAGGTCCTGTTGCCAAATGTATTTAACTTGAAAAGATACTCTAACTTAACATACACAATATAAAAGAATAAAAAAAACATTTGATTGGTTTTACCATCTCATCTGAAACCCCAAAAAAAAACATATTTGGTGCGGGGGCACACGTACCTTTAGGATAAAAAAAATTCAAAAGGAAAAATAACAGCCCATATGTTTTCACTTCTTAGGAGAAAACTCTACACAAGCATAATCATTTTATTTATAAAGTAATAAGATTTAATTAACTCCAAACAACACCATTCTAGGCAATTACTAAAACATCGAACCTACACTTCAATTTCAACTTGATTGCATGCTTGCACACCCAGTTAGAGAAGTTTGTTATTTCCATCTCCTCTTTTAATGTTTTGTGCAGAGGTCCTAAAACATTAAATAGGTGCAAAACAACGACACATTGATCACACTGTTGGATGTACCAGGACGCATTCTTACTTTGCTGGTAGAGAACTTTTTCTCTCCCTCAGCTCATTTCTTTCAGAATACAACAGCATTATATTTACAGAGGTGGGTTAAGACGTATTATCTGATTTGAATGTTAAATCTGCCTCCTTATGATAATAAGCACTTGCGTCCATAAAAGTTTGTTCTCCTTTGATTTGGTTCCATACTTGAAGTTTTTTACCGTAACAATTTTACAGTTGCAGAATCACAGATAGAGCACTTAAATGTTAGTACCTAGCTCGAAGCATGACTTTTGCATATCACCTTTAAGTACAACATATTTCACACATTTCAACACCAAAAAATAAAGAGGATAGAGAAGCTGAGCAAAGGTACTCCTTTGCTTATAATGATTTAACAAATACCAGAAAGATTTCCTTTCCCTAAGCAGAAAGATAATAACTCAAAAATTATCTTCATTACATAATACATACCTTGCTCTTAAGCAGTTTATTCTTTCAAAGCATGTTTTTTCATGATAACTCAAAGATCATTTCATTGATGTCACACCAATTTGTTGTCAAAAACTATCTACTCCACTTCTGAAAAACATAGAAGAATTTCATTCCAAAAAGAAAAAGAAACAGACAGGGAGGGATCTTCCTAGCAGTTAATAGTGGCGGGATTGTATTTTTTTATTGAGTTCAGTCATAATCTGCAAAACAATTTATTAATATATCCTAGAAGAGCATATCACATTGCAGAAAAATCACAACTTAGCAGAATGTAGTATTCTAAGTAGCTGTGGCCCTAAGTCCTTGTTTTTTATAAGGTAAGATTTTATTAAAAAGGTACCAAGATGGGTACAAGTTACATCAGTCCAACATCTGCCGAAGCCACTTACATGGCAACTACAGATCTCCTATCTCTTCTAAAAAGTCCAAGTATTGCTCCATAGTTTCAATAGTACTTGTATTACACCAAAAATACAAGTTCAAAAGACAGCTATTCTTAATTCTGAAAACATGTTGTCTTCGCCCTTCAAAACAAACACTATTTCTTTCCAGCCATATTGTCCATAAAACACAAAAGAATTGTCCTCCATACTGTTTGTTCCTTTTTGCCATTTTCTGATGATGCCATTGTTCCAACAAGCTCTTAACACTGTTAGGCATTACCCACTTAACACCGTGGCCCTAAGTCCTTACAGGCATTGAAGCAGAAAATCCACATAAGACCTCCACATATATAACTTCAACATGAGAAGCACACTCACAACACGGATCTTGTTCATATGTGCTCCTTATAATTCTACAGAAGAAAAATGTGGCTTATGTATGACGTAAAGGAATTCAAAGCTCCTAGTGAATGTACCCTAGGTGATCAGCATCACCAATAAGGTCACCAACAAACCCACCCTAACTAGAAACTTATCAGCCGATCTCGGTATTGACAGCCCTCAATCTGAAACTGCAACTCATGCAATTTCCTAACCTTGTACTAACACTAACTTCTTCAAGTCTATTTTCTCAACCTCTATCCATCACAAATAGGACACCTCTCATACAGGAAAGAATGAACAACACACAGAAATCTTTCAACTAGAATAGATGAATTTCGAATCTTCCCTGGAGATCAAGCATAGCACTTACCGAATAAATATAATACAAGTTTTTGAGTAAAACAGATAAAAGCTCACCTATTAATTACAGAAATGGTTAGTAAACCAGGGAGAGAACTAGCTGAGCGCAATAAATCCAATAGAGTGCCAACAGTATTTTTGGCATCTGATGTAAGAACAGCCGGATCAAGAACAGGGTGATGACCAACTACCCATGAAATATTAAAACTCCGTCCATGTTTAGCTGCAGGCATACATAAATGACGCATTAAAAGCACAAACAAATATCAGAATCAGCAAACAGCAAAAATGGAAAACGGATAAAGGAATAAAACTATCCTAGTGATTCTTTTCTGATAAGCTACATTATATAATAGCGAATCATGATAAAACGCCTATACTCAGAATCTTCCCATCCTTGATGTTCTGTAAAAATTTACCTTGTGCTACATATTTTTCAGAATCATTTGTATCCGGTGTGAAACGTAAAATATATGTTTCGAGAAACTTCAATGCCAGCAGTTTTGTACCAATTGGGCCTACCTGTAAAAACATATCCAAAAAGCATGTCATTTGTATGTGCCAAACAATTAGCGGAAGGACATCCCAAAAGCAAATCAGGGAGACCCGAAAATGGATTTATTTTTTCTTCTATTTCCCCTTTGCTAAGCCCTCCTGCACCCCAGAGATTAACAGAGCAAAAGACAAGGAACGGTAAGTCTAAATTAGGTAAACATTTGGTAGCAGATCTCACAAAGACATCATCATGAAACACTACACTTCAAGGTTCGAGACTGCACAATATATATAAGTAAACCTCATGCTCGTGGATATCCATTCATCTCCTTATTTCCAAAATGCAGTAGCTTCCGAAACTGGCTACTAAAATGAGGCTAAAATAGGTATACAAATGCAAAGAGTAAATCATCATTTGACATCTTGGCACAAAGTGAAACTTAGATTCCCTTTTTTTGTAGAACTTGACAGAAGCCTGTTTTAAATCTTACATCTACTTCATCCTCTTCACGTTAGATAACCAGACTCTCCCTCACAACTTAAACATTCTCTGATCATTTCCTTCTCTCCTATCCTGCACAGTAGGGCAGGTAGGACATATACTAACACAGACACACAGGCACAAAGAGGGAGAAAGTGACTAGTCATTTCATACATACTAACTTGATCTAAGCCAAAAGGTCGAGAATATGTATTTTTCATACTCTCATTTGAGGCGCACTTAAGCCCTGAAGCTCAGAAAAGATCAGGGTATGCGCTTCGGCTCACTTAGGTTGCGCTTCAATGTAGGCAAGACACTAAGGCATGCACCTCAATGCCTATAAGTTCTATCTTGAATAAAGCGGTACAAAACAATAAATATGATTGGCAAAAAGATATATTAATTGTTGAGGAAATCATTATGAATTAAATTGTCACTTTTCTTTGCATTACATATACATTTTTTTATTTTTTTCTTCGTTGCGCTTTTTTTTACCTAAAGCCCACACCAGTGTTGTGAAAAGCGCTCGCTTCAGCGCTTAAAGCGCGAATCGAAGCGAAGCGGGACCTCGGGCGCTTCTGCAATGTGAAGCGTAGCAGGTTGAGTAAAGTGAGTGCTTCGCAAAAAAAGCGAGAAGCATTAGAAGCGACAGAAGCGAGCGCTTCTACATATTAAGGCTGCCAACGTTAAAAGTTAGAAAAGCTCTCTTTTTTTTAAAAGACCATCGAGCAGCAGAGAACAACAGGCAACTAGGGTTCCCATTTTCTGCACTTTTCAACTTCAAGTTCATCAAGAGCAAGCTCAGGTATGTGATTTCAAGTTCTTCTTCTTCTTTCACTGATCCAGTCTCAAAATAGCAGCGAAATGCTGGCAATTTTTTTTCCCTTCAGTTCTTTTTCACATTCTCTTCTTCTTTTTCTTTCACTGTTTCAGTCTTAAATTGCAGCGAAATGCTGCCCAATTTTTTTCGCTTCAGTTACTGCCATTATTGTCTATGCAGTATTTATTTTAATTTTTTTTAAATTCCGCTTCACTTCAAAAAAGCGAGCTCTTCGCTTCTCGCTTTAAGCGAAAAGGTGCTTGTCGCTTTTCCTCGCTTCAAGCTCTTAACAACACTGGCCCACACTTTAATTGCGCTTTGCACTTAAAGCCCGATAGACTTGGACCGCTTTTTAAATAGACCCCGAGCTTCATAACGATGAAAGAAACAAGATAGTTAATCTAAGGAATTAAAAGGGCATTCTCTTGCTTATATTTTCTTCTTTGAATAGACCGCTCCTCCTGCAGTAACCTAGTAGCTGGTCACATATGGTAAAGAGATAATTTTACCTCCCACCCCACCCCGAACTAGAAGTCCAGAATGAATGAATAAATAAACAAATAAATAAATAAATAAATAAATACCTATGGAAGGATGAATCCTCTCACCATATTAGAGATATCCAACAGCCAAAAAGTTCTAGTTTATTATTTGTAAAACATTCATAAAATATTATGATCCTTTTTTATTAGTTCACCAAAATATTATGATTCTGTCTTAAAAGTTCATAAAACATCATGATCCTGATGATGTCCAATATGAAGTTTGTTGGAACCTCTACAAGGTAAAACTGTAAACCGTTTATCAACGGAGAGGAAAAGGATAAGCTTTAGAACAAACATTTTGGCAAGTTGCTGTGAGGACGAATTCAAAAAGGTGTTGCGGTTCCTAGATCCAAGTGACAACAAAATTGATAATTAAGTCCACTAGCCAACAAGCACCCACTACATGAGCAAAACAAGATACCTCAAAAAGAAAGCCAAAGACAGCATCCTTGAACTTGACCATCCATGTCCAGAGCTCATCAAGCCACCTCTCAACTATACCATGCCGATGAAACTATAATTTATAAAAGAAGGATTTAGAACCTCAAATGTATTAGAGAAGACAATAAGCTTTGTGAACAGAATGACAAATTAAACATGTACTCCCTCTGTCCCAATTTCTATGGCACTCTTTCCTTTTTTGTCCGGCTCAAAAAGAATGCTGCATTTCTTTATTCAGAAACAATTTAACGTCAAAGTTTCCATTTTACCCTTAGAGAGATTATTTATGACCACAAATGTCTAAGGCCAATTTTAGACCACAAATTTTAAAAAGTCCTTCTTTCTTAATTTACAGGCAAAGTCAAACGATGCCACATAAATTGGGACGGAAGGAGTAACAGAAAGTGCACAAGGACAGGGAGGATAAACTTAAAGATAATATATATACACACAACCACACACCCAACCAAAGCTAGTGACTCCAATGCATATCAGACACAAAAAGATAAGTTCTGTTAAAACAAAATCTAGCATAGCTTCAAGAACCTGACAAGATAGGCATGAAGCATTAAGGTATTAAAAGCACATCTTATAGCATCAACCTCCCTGCCAACACGTTCTTTATACCGCACAACCCTCTATATTACAGCAATCACTAATGGCACTAGTCAGGCACAAAAATCCTTCATCAGCCGTCAATCGACCAAACTTCACTTTCCTTTCTAGAGTGAATGAATAATTACTAAATGAACAAAGGGAATACCACTGTACAATTACATAGAAATGTCAAGCTATGTTAACTAGCATCTGTTTACTACATTTTTGGTTTTAAAATCTTTCAGAAAGAACTAGCACGAAAAGAAGATTTCAGAACCAAACATTGTGTCTCCAAACTTGAAAGAAAGCCTACAAGATTAGCCTTCGGCCTCCTTTAAATCTTATCATCCCTAACCAACACGTTATCATCCAAGCTTCTGATTGAGCACAGATGAAATTTACACAGTTATGGTCTTAAAATACTAACAAGTCTAAAACATCAGAAAACAAATGAGGTGGCCCAAGGCACAAGACTCGCATTGCAGAGACCAAACCTTTTTTTTTTTNTATGCTGCATCAAGGGTCGGTCAACAAGATAGAGCAAAAGAAGCAAATGCAGAACTATCAACAAGCATGTGACCTGATATGATAATTCCTCCAACACGCCACAATAGATTTTCATGCCAGATACAATTGATTGCTTTGTCACCATAGAACTCGTATCTTTTAAACATGTGAATAACACGGGCATTAACACCAACGAATGCTCTTTTGCTTTCATCCCAACCGCCTCAATTACCCTGACATAGATGTACAAGAAGGTTAGAATGACGAAAACTATATCAAGAAAAAACCAGTATCCATAAAATCAGAATACCAATCGCATGCAAGCACATTTGTTACAACCCTATTCTAGCATCAACTGATAGCAACTTACCAACTACCAATTGCAACAGCAAGTAATCAATTTTATTATGTTTTTCATTTGGTACCCCACCCCCAAATAAATACCCCTGCTCAGGGACGAAGAGTGGAATTCCCTGTTCCACCCCCACCCCCTTGCTGACTCGAACGCCCAACCTCTTGGTTAGAAGCAGATGGCTCTGACAGCTAGAGCAACCTCTCCTGTCCAGGAGTAATTCAATTTTAGCAAGACCTACCTTTTATATGTGCAAAAGAAGGAGTCAAGCTGTAATTATCAATCCTTGTCAATCACAAAAAGGGAAATACATAAATGCAACACCCTCCACCACCTTGAAACATATATTTGTACCTAATATACCAATAAGCTTCTAATACAAATCTAAAGAACCAATTCAATCACACAAAAAGGTGCAATTATTTATTTCCTTAGCAGAAACTAAGTCAATTTTGATTCAAGCACCCACTATTTACCACTCCCTATCACCAAAAAAGACACTACCATGTACTCCCAAAAGTTCATTTTTTTATCTCAATGCTGATACTTTTAAATTTAAAATAAAATTTATACATATTTACGAACTATATAAAAAATGGTTGAGTTCCTAATTGTAATAGTACCATATAAAATGGAAAAGGATTAACTTACTCAATGAGGCATTTGCGAACGAGACTTTGGGGCGATGACTTAAGGTCAATTAAATAAGGGAAAAGCTCAGCAACATGTGATGGCTCAGCTGATAACAGTATATCTTTCAGTTGCTTCAACGAAGATAGCTTTACTGTCAAATCACCATGGTTATTAGCGGCTGCGAGTAGCGGTAGAGCTTGCTCCCGCATTGGTCCCCCGGCCATGTTAACAATGAGAGTAGCTAGGGTTTTATTTATACTTAGGGTTTTGAATGAGGCCGGAGAAATTGCCTTGCTGTCCGCCGCCACCTGTGTAGGGTTCCGCCGAGCCGGATAGAAGATACGGATGAAATAGTGCGTTGGCCTGAAGGAGAGATATCATAAATGGAGATTTGAAAAGGATTTTTTGGATTTAACCATTTTGTGATGTGCAGAGAGAGGGATGTCAGTTGGGGATTTTGAATTTGTTGAGGAAAATTTGGGGCTTGGAGTTGGAGCGGCTATTGGGCCGAGGTGATATAATGGGGTAAAAATTGTGTGGGGTAGCCACTTTTTAAAGTGATTTACTTTTTATAAAAGTAGCCACTAGTCTATTAAAATTAATATGAAAAGGCAGTATTACCCTTTCCTTCCCAACCGAAAATATGCCATTTTCAGATTCATTCATTACAGCTCCACTTCTCCTTTTGCAATGGCGTTCTGGGGTCCGTATGAGTGTTTCCATTATTTTCATATATGAAATCCAATTTTGAACAGAAGAAACGAAATGCATTAATCATATAAATTTTATAAGCCTCTTATTTTCTTTTGTGTCTGCTTTCAGGAGTTAAATTGCCTGGTAAATCATTCACTCATAATAATCACAGATGTGGGAGGACGTGACTTTTGGTTTTCTAAAAGAAGTGACTTTTAGATTTTCTTAAACAACAAATAATTAGGAAAAATATGGTAAAAAGCCAAAAAATTGAGGACAAAGATAATTGTGTTAAGGACATGTAGTCCTAAAGTTCTAAAGTTAAATTCAAAAGTTAAGGACATGTAGTCCTGAAGTTAAGTTCAATAGTTAAGGACACAAGTTCAAAGGTTAAGGACAGGCAATCCTTAATTTACAGTTACAAGTTCTAAAGTTAAGGACAGGCAGTCCTTAACTTACAGTTACAAGTTCAAAAGTTAAGGACAGACAGTCCTTAACTTACAGTTACAAGTTCAAAAGTTAAGGATAATAGGTCGTTAACTTTGACTTCCAAGTTCAAAAGTTAAGGACAAACCGTCCTTAACTTACAGTTATAAATTCAAAAGTTAAGGACAAGCAGTCATTAACTTACAGTTACAAGTTCAAAAGTTAAGGGCAATAGGTCCTTAACTTTGACTTACAAGTTCAAAAATTAAGGACGCTTGGACCTGAAGTTTCAGTTCCAAGCTCAAAAGTTAAGGACATGTAGCCCTGAAGTCCTAAACTTAGAGTTACAAGTTCAAAAGTTAAGGACATGTAGTCCTGAAGTTAAGTTCAAAAGTTAAGGACATGTAGTTCTGAAGTCTTGAACTTAGAGTTTCAAGCTCAAAAGTTAAGGACATGTAGTCCTGAAGTTAAGTTCAAAAGTTAAGGACATGTAGTTCTGAAGTCTTGAACTTAGAGTTTCAAGCTCAAAAGTTAAGGACATGTAGTCCTGAAGTTAAGTACAAAAGTTAAGGATATGAGCAGAAGGGTATTTTCGTCCGGACAGTTAAAGTTTATTAGAGCAGTGGCTACAAAACTAAAGACATTTTAAACAATGGCTTAAAAGTAAATACATATGTTATTAGTGGCTAATCATGCACTTCCCCTATAATGGGCAGACTATTTGCACAGCGCTATTCAAGACGTAGCCACTTTTTAAAAGTAATATTATATTTGTGGCCACTTATACCTGTTTGGCCAATCTTTGACCCCCTTTTTTTGGCCAAAAATATTTTTTTCAAAATTAAAGTGTTTGGCCAAGTTCTTAGAAGGAAAGAAAAGTACTTTGGAGTATAAGAAGAAGCAGTTATGGAGAAGCAAAAAAAGTGTTGTTCTCCTCAAAAGTACTTTCCAGAAAATACGCTTATAGTATGTTTGGCCAAGCTTCCAAAATCAGCTTACTTTGAGAAATATTTTTTCTCAAATGTGTTTTTTTTTTAAAAGTACTTTTGGTAAGAAATAATTTGTGTTTGGCTAATTAATTTAAAAAGTACTTTTGAACAACAATTAGTATTTGGTCGGGCTTTTAAAAAGTACTTTTGAACAACAATTAGTATTTGGTCGGGCTTTTAAAAAGTACTTTTAAGTGTATTTTTCTCAAATGTATTTTTCAAAAAAAGTGTTTATTGGGAGAAGCTACTTTTTTCTATTTCTCCAAAAATACTTATGCTTATACTCAAAAGCATATTTTTTTTCTTCTAAAAGCTTGGCCAAACGCTTCAACGTTAGAAGAAAAAAAAACTTTTTTGGGCCAAACATGCTATTAGAAGCATTTTTTTAAAGCTTCGGTCAAACACTAATTGCTACTCCAACGTACTTTTTAAATTAATTAGTTAAACACAAGTTGCTTCTTACCAAAATATTTTTTTGAAAAGTATTTTTGAAAAAAAAAATACATTTCAAAATAAGCTGATTTTAGAAGCTTTGCCAAACATGATATTAGATTATTAGTTCCTCCGACTTAGAAAGGAGTTAGAAGAAGAAATCTCAATGGCTCCTATTAACATTGTCATATTAATAAGTTTGATTTGGTATTGCTTAGGAAAAGCCTTGGCAGCTAATTGTGCAAGAATTAGTGCTACCGCAACAAATAAAAAGAACCAATCATGGGGAGTTTAGCGTTCATTCCAGCTGTGAAGAGACCATTAACTATGGATGTTCGGGCGTTGGTCAACAGATCTGTGAGATTGATATCCCACAAGTTTGTAAATCTCCAAAAATTCTTGTATGCAATCAATTTAAATCTATAAAGCCCCATATTCTATATATAAATATAAAGCTGAGAATTGACTTGGTGATGTGGCAGTCCTCTAAAGCCAGCATTCTTATTTATCTTTTTTCTCAAATTTTTCCTTGTTTCATGTCTAAAAACGGGTAGAAAACTCAAACTATTGTGTTTGTGTCATTCCTCATTATTAGTATTTACTTTCACCTTTCTTGAAACGTTTCAAAGAAACGGTTTCAAAATACAGCAACGCAACGGTTGCAAATTAAAGTTGTAATAATCATGGTTAAGATGCTTTTATCTTTTAATTATTAGAAGTGGAAGAGGGATTCATGGGTTATAGGTCTACAGCCAACACCTCCATTTACAGGAAAGTAATGTTTCAGTTCTTATCCTCGTCTTCTTTCATAATTTTTTCCTTGATCATTTTTTGTTGGAAGTTAATGAAATAAATCCAATGATAGGTTTAGATGCATTGTTATATTTCACTTTGAGTTTGTTTGGGTTGACTTCCAAATGACTATTGCATCATGGATAATATCATGAGAGCTCTGCAAAAGGTTTGAATACAAATGATGTTGTTTACATATAATTTTCTCACGTCCCTCACATATTCACATTTATCGTATTTCACAGTAAATTTTCATGTTTGTCAATGCAGATGGAATAAATCCAATAGTGCAATTTCGGAGCGTACATTGACGCAATTGGAGAAATTTTGATGCTTTATGACTATTAAAAAAACTCTTTATTTGATCTCTGTTAGATGCCAGGAGGGTTTGATATATATGGTGCTTTTCACTTTTTACGGATCACTTCATATTTCCTACTTATATTATTTTGTTACTCTCAGAAGCAAAACATATGTAAATCTTGAGAACTTTCAACGGAGCTTCTTAGAAGAGAAAGAGATTATGAAATGTTCCAAGAGTTTGAAATTGATCTTTCACAAATGCGGCCTTTTAGTGACTTAATTGGTAACTGTGATACATTTTCATGTTCTAATTAACAAACTGCTTTTATTTTTAATAATTGTTTTTATTCTTTACATATATGCATCAATACAACACAACGATATACTAAAATCGTGATGTTTCTTTTCAAGTTTATTTAGGAAAAGGAATAAATGTAGAATATGAGGATGAAGAAAACGGAAGAAAGAGATATTAAATGGGATTTGATGAATAGAAATAAATGGAGTAATAATGAGGATAAAAATATATATTTTGGCAATTTTTTTTGACAGAAAATAAAAATAAGTTCAAAATTATGAGAAAAAAGATAAATTATCATACTGGTTAAAGAGACATGCCACATCATCTTTTCTATTCCCAACTTTATATTTATTTTTGATACCATAGGGTTGCAAGAAAACCTTCTAAGTCTCATGGTTTTGAGAAGTTATCTGCTATTTTATCCCCTTTGCAACAGTCTTGATATTATCTATCAAGCACAATGTGAATCTAGAAATACAACTTTATAATTTTTATATAGAAATATAAAGCTGGGAATTAACTTGGTGATGTGGCAGTCTTCTAAAGCCAGCATTCTTATTTATCTTTTTTCTCAAATTTTTTCTTATTTCATGCCTAAAAAACGGGTAGAAAACTCAAAATATTTTGTTTATGTCATTCCTCATTATTAGTATTTACTTTCATCTTTCTTGAAACGTTTCAAAGAAACGGTTTCAAAATACAACAACGTAATGGTTGCAAATTAAAGTTGTAATGGTCATGATTAAGATGCTTTTATCTTTTAATTATGAAAAGTGGAAGAGGGATTCATGGGTTATAGGTCTGCAGCCAACACCTCCATTTACAGGAAAGTAATGTTTCAGTTCTTATCCTCATCTTCTTTTATAATTTATTCCTTGATCGTTTTTTGAGTTTGTTTGGGTTGACTTCCAAATGACTATTGCATCATGGATAATATTATGAGAGCTCTGCAAAAGGTTTGAATACAAATGATGTTGTTTACATATAATTTTCTCACTTCCCTCACATATTCACATTTTTTGTATTTCACAGTAAATTTTCATGTTTGTCAATGTAGATGGAATAAATCCAACGGTGCAATTTCGGAGCGTACATTGACGCAATTGGAGAAATTTTGATGCTTCATGACTATTAAACAAACTCTTTATTTGATCTCTGTTAGATGCCAAGAGGGTTTGATATATATGGCGTTTTTCACTTTTTACGGATCACTTCATATTTCCTACTTATATTCTTTTGTTACTCTCAGAAGCAAAACATATGTAAATCTTGAGAACTTTCAGCGGAGCTTCTTAGGAGAGAAAGAGATGCTGAAATGTTCCAAGAGTTTGAAATTGATCTTTCATAAATGCGGTCTTTTAGCGACTTAATTGGCAACTATGATATATTTTCATGTTCTAATTAACAAACTACTTTTATTTTTAATATTTGTTTTTATTCTTTACATATATGCACCAATACAACACAACGATATACTAAAATCGTGATGTTTCTTTTCAAGTTTATTTAGGCAACTATCATGCTTGGAAGAAGTTGAAAGT